CAACCCAAACCAGTCTATGATTCTATGAATCAGTCTGGAACCTGCTTTGTTCACTGCAGGTGTCACCTCTGTAATTAGCTACCTGGACTACCTGTGTGTCCGTGTTCATACATGAAGGTGTCTTGCTCAACCCGAATAACTGATTGAGTTTATCTGTGAACGTCATTGCAGATCTAGAGTGCTCTCCCAAATTGAGCTGCCAGGCTAATGTGCTTTTCTGCAAACTGCCACAGTCATGTGCATGCTTTAAAGAGGATTTTCCTAATTCTCCCTCTCGAAGTTAATGCTTTTAGAGTTTTCCCCCTTTCCCTTTTTTATAGAACAATAAAGAATAATTATAGTTTTATTGACAGATGCCTATATACCTACACATCCATTTCCACCTTGGCATCTGAGTTTTCCTCTTCTTTCCAAAGCATTGGTGACATTTCCAGGAGATGGTTGGTTTTGATATCATAGAATCCCAGACTGGTTTGGGTTGGAAGGGACCTTAAAGCTCATCCAGTTCCAACCCCCCTGCCAGCAGCAGGGACACCTTCCACTAGACCAGGTTGCTCAAAGCCTCATCCAACCTGGCCGAGAACACTTCCAGGGAGGAGCAACCACAGCTTCTCTGGGCAACCTGGGACTTGGGATCTCTCAGCTAAAAGAAATCCTACATGAACACTTAAATTGAAGCGGTGTGTTTAGCTAGGAATGCTGCCAGCTGACTTCTGGAGGAAAGGAAAGCTGTGTGTAAAGGTGTGTTTGAGGAAAACAGTCTAAAAGGTGATGGAGGGTTAAATCAGGCTTGTCAAGGAGGGGTTTTAAAAAATAAAAATTAAAAAAAAGAGGGGATGGAGAAGCTGACACTGGGCTTTCTGTGGGTAAAGAATCACAGACTGGTTTGGCTTGGAAGGGACCTTTCCAGGCCATCTAGTCCAACCCCCTGCAGTGAGCAGGGACACCTTCAACCACATCAGGTTGCTCAGACCCCCATTAAGCCTGACCTTGAATAGTCAGGAACCACTTGCAACTTTCTAGATCTTCCAGGCAGATTTGAATTATGAAAGTGCCTTAATGTTTCCTCTTAGGTGACATCTCTCTCTTTCTCTTTGTCTCATCCCCAGGTTGAGAACGAAACGAACCAGCTCCAGGATGGCTCTCTGATCGACCTGTGCGGAGCGACGCTGCTGTGGCGCACCGCGGAAGGCCTTTCCCGCACTCCCACCGTCAAGCACCTGGAAGCGTTAAGACAGGAAATAAACGCGGCGAGACCCCAGTGTCCTGTGGGCTTTAACACTTTGGCCTTTCCCAGCATGAAGAGAAAAGATGTCGTAGATGAAAAGCAACCGTGGGTGTATCTGAACTGTGGCCACGTCCACGGTTATCACAACTGGGGAAACAAAGAGGAGAGAGACGGCAAGGATCGCGAGTGTCCCATGTGCCGCTCCGTCGGTCCCTACGTGCCGCTCTGGCTCGGGTGTGAAGCGGGATTTTATGTGGATGCGGGACCTCCAACTCACGCCTTCAGCCCGTGTGGACACGTGTGCTCAGAAAAAACAACTGCATATTGGTCCCAAATTCCTCTTCCTCACGGTACTCACACGTTTCACGCAGCCTGTCCTTTCTGTGCCCATCAGCTGGCTGGTGAGCAAGGTTACATCAGACTCATTTTCCAAGGACCTCTTGACTAACACGCGTCCTTCCGAGGACTGCAGGAAACTGATAAGCTAAACCATTCTGATTTTTAAACCAACTGGTTTTTCGTATTCTCTGGGCTTTGCTGATTTGCATTAAGATGAAGAAATTTTGTTGGGTTTTTTTGTTGTTACAGCAGCTAAATCCCTCTCTACTGAGAGAAGTCTGGAAATGGAAGAAACGAGGGGGGAGAAGGGGGAGAACTCCTGCTTTTCTCTTTTTTTTAGTGAATAACTCCTGGAGAGGTGAAGGAAGAGCTGTAGAGTGAACTTTGATGCCTTCCCTGTCATGATTTTAAATCACATGCCCACAGTGTGTTGGAAAGTTGTTTCCTTCTTTTTTTTTTTTGTATATGGAGGGTAAATAGTTCAAAGAACATGAGTTTACAGCTTGGATGCAAACGTTGTAAAATATAACGTGTATATTAACTCTTTTCTATTTATCTTTATTATTGAAAATAGGTAGAATGTTTAGAGAGCAGCATGGTCCTAGTGTGTTCATCCAGCGATTGTGTAGAGTAGTTCTGGATGGAGAAGGACGTGAGATGGAACTGGTAGGAAAAAAATCTTTTCCTTTTTTTTTTTTTTTTCTAAAATACTGAGTTCTTAGAATAGTTAAAATGCTTTTTAAACAAAGCTAATGCAAATGATGATGGCATAAAGGTTGTGCTTTAACCGTCTTGAAAGGTAGCTAAGAAGGACTTCTTAAAAAAATGTCTTTTTGGTAGGACTGTCGTTAAGATCTGGTGATGAGGAGGATATTTACCAGACTCTTTGAATATGCAACTTAGTCTAGATTAAGGATTTTATTTTTTCCTCCTTTCATGCTAACACTTCTCTTTATTTAGCATTAGTGACATTCGTGAGGGTTTGTTTTTTCCAACGTTCAACATTAACCTGAAAGATGAGGCTCGTTTTTATTCCTTGCTGGTTGAGGGTGAGGGGAGAGATGGATGTGCACGTGTGGGGAGCAGGGAGCCAATTTGTCCATCGGCCACAATCCCATCTTGGGACAAGCTTTGTGACTCAATGTTCTGCTTTTCTTCTGGCCCTGCTGCAACTTGTCACCAGGGGTTGTCGGGTGGGGGAGAGCTTGAGCTGGGACTGGATGCGTGGGCCTCGCTGTGGGACACTTGCCTGAGGTCCCCTCGCTCTAGTCAGGGGTCTCTCCGCTCCCCTCCTCCTTTCCCTCCGTATCCACCAGGAAAGGCCAGTGCACTACCCCCAGCTCTGCTGCTCACCCCCCGCGCTTCACGGCAAAGACACAACCTGACCTTTGTAGGATTGAGTTGAGCTTTTTTTTTTTTTGCCCAGCTTCCTATTTTTATTTTTATTTTTTTCCCCCAAATCCATACTGTATCACTGATAGTAGCAAAATTCTGTAGTTTATAGCATAGCTTTATTTTTTTGTCTCCTTTCAAAGCTTTCTTGCTTTAAAGAGAGACCTACGTTGCTTAGATGTCATGAATTATTTACTTTTGACTGTCAATTGTTTCTCCCTTTTTTAACAAGAAATTCTCTATATTGTTTGGTTCACTCAGGAAATGCATGTGTCAGGAAACCTGTATGATAAGTTCAGTTAGCTGTCATGTACAAGTAACTGCTGTTACTCCCTTTCCATCGAAATATCACTGATTTTTGACATTGTCCAGATTTATAATATGCATTAAGTGATGAAACTTATTGCAGCGAGAAACCCCTGTATTGTAGTTGTTCTAATCATTTTATTCCAACTCTTATTATACTGTAGTTTTAATTTTTATTTGCAAATTAATTTATTCGAACTACGTGAGTAAAACACTTTTCAAAAATGGAAAATCCTGGGATTGTCTGTCGGTTTGTTTCTAAGAGAACGGGGGAAGGTGGCTGGAGGTGACCCTTCTGCTGTCACGTAAGGTCTCTCTCCTGCACGTGGGGATTAAGGTCACAAAGAAGAAGTGACCGTGAAGAGTTTGCGTGTTATCCCGGTCGTGGATTTGAATGGCTCCTTTCAGATGTGGCTTCTCAATGTGTTTTATGTTTAACCCTATGCTGACAAAGGTGAGATCAGAGAATCACTGAATTGTTCTGGTTCTAAAAGACCTTTAAGATCGAGTCCAACCATAAACCCAACACTGCTCAGTCCACCTCTAAACCATGTCCCTCAGCACCACATCTGCACGGCTTTTAAACACCTCCAGGGATGGGGACTCCACTGCTTGTTTTTAAAAGACATAGTTAAATGATCTCTTCTCCCAGTAAGTTACAAATAAAGAAATGTAAGCAAAAACTTTCACTGAATGTCTGGGCTCTTCTAAAAAAAGTCAAGAGCTCTCGATTCCATCTTCCCCAGAATCAGATTGACTCTTCTTCTCTGGTCCTGATCTTGTTGGCTGCGGGGATATGAAAAAGCAGCAAAGGACATGATGAAAGCTACGAAGTAGTGTGAGTAATTGCCACTTAAACTTGAGATGAAACTTCTTTCCAGTGAGGGTGACAGAGCCCTGGGACAGGCTGCCCAGGGAGGGTGTGGAGTCTCCTTCTCTGGAGACATTCAAAACCTGCCTGGACGCCTTCCTGTGTGATCTCATTTAGGTTCCTGCTCCGGCAGGGGGATTGGACTGGATGATCTTTTGAGGTCCCTTCCAATCCCCAACATTCTGTGATTCTGTAATTGTGACCAAAAAGACAAATGGTGAGAGCAGACTGAGAGCTGGATGGTGGCAGACACGTGGGAAGCGACGTACTTGCCCTGTGTGGGAGGCACAGCTGGGTGCTGGTGTGGAGCCAACGCTGCCGTTGGGTGCATGCACATCCCACTGTAGAAGGAGAGAGGTTCATACCCAAAGCACAACCATCGTTAAGCCTCTACCCTGCTCAGATGATAAACATTAATTAATTAAACTTTCAATGTACTTCTCCACCCCTGCAAGCCCCCAAAAAAGAGAAATGCTGCAGAAGAAGGTGTAGCCTTAGCAGAACCAGCTGGATTTCTGGGTGGCATTACACTGAGAGAACCTTTCAGACTCTGCCCCACACTCTCTGCCTGCTCTATACTTTCCTTGACCCAGGCTGGGTTTGCTAATGTTATTTTTAAAAGGACAGAACTCGGGTATTCGAATGCCTGAGACACAGAAATCCCACTGTCAGAGGCAGGAGCGCGGCGGTCGAGTAGTTTGAGGAACGATTTCCATTCGCCGTGCCAGCGAACTAAAACCAGTAGCGCTGTGGTTCCCTGTTTGAGTTTCCTCAGGCTTCTGTCCTTTAATAAACAATTTAAATAGCAGGTCTCGGGCTCTGTAAACTGTAAAATGAACGTTGGATTAAAAGTTAAACGATCCCTTTGACTCAGGCAGCTGACTGAAGCGCTCTGAACCCCAAGGCCTTTGCTCCTGAACACATCTGGGAGGTGGGAGAAGCGCAAAAGGTCACACCGTGCTGGCTTTGAGGTGATTGCAGCTCCACTTCTCTGCAGACTCAATCAGTACCTGCAAAAAAACCATCCCCAGACACGATCTGTGCCCTGAACCAGCTTTCCAAGGTCTGTTCCAATGGAAAGAGGCATCGGTGGTGGAACCAGCAGGTGGGACAGGGCTGTTCCCTGGGCCATCACCGCAGGTACGTGGCACCGATGGGGGAACGCAGGTGGAAACGGGGTCAGTGTAGGCCCTTTTCTAGCCTTCAGGTTTGGTGAAGATCTGCAGAAATGCGTCTGGAAATGGGCAGCGAGCTTTCTGCTGCTGCTTTGTGCGTGGCTGTGCCGTTCCCTGTGTGATGTGTGATGTGTCATGGAGGTGATTTAATGAGCTCATTTGCTTTCCACCTGTAGAACATGGCATGGAGGTAACACTGGTACAAGGCGGCAGCTTGGCACCGCAGCTGCCTCATGAAACCCTCTTTCCAGAGCAGACGTGGGCAGCTCGGTGTGTTGACTCACAGCCGGGCAGGAGCCTGTTGGTGGGGAGGTTGCTGGGGGTTTTCCCTGGGAAGGTGGTGGGTGGCCCAGCACCCACCGAGCGCTCTGTTCCCTTCGCTG